TAGAACTTAAAAGTTGGTCCTGAAATAAAGTCGTCGCTCAGCATAGGAACCGAGGAAAAAGTGACCATAATACTTAGCAGTAGCAATCTATGCTACTTAGTTCCGGTGATGTTCTCTGTGCACCTCCTAGAGCAGAGGTCAGCAAACTTGGTCTATACCTAGCCAGACAGCAAATATTTTAGGCTTTGTGGGCCATATCATCTCTGAGCTATTTGACTCTGCCATTGTACTACAAAAGCAACCATAGATAATATATTTTTTTTAAGGGTATGGCTGTGTTCTGATAAAACTTTTATTTATAAAAACAAATGGCAGGCTGTATTTGGCCCATGGCCATAGTTGCCAGGCCCTTGGTCGAAATCTTGTCTAATTGTGATAAGTTAGGTATTCTGTTACATCTCAGAGAGAAGGGTCATATTAGATGTATTGTGCCCTTTTTTAAGGCATTAAACAAATCATATATCTCTTTTATATATCTAAGCATTTGGCCTTAAAAATTCATTGAGCAGCACACCATATAATTTGTTTAACTGTGGTAGTTAGACATAAAGATCAGGAGAATGGAGTTTGTAGACATAAGATTTTTTGAATGTGTTAAACCTCCTCATTGTGCCATTTTTTTAATGGCCTCTAACAAAATCCTAATTTTATGGGATTTGATTTTTGTTCCTTTTGCATCTCTGAGCTTTCTCATTTTCTTTTTAAGTTTTTTTTAAATTGTAGTAAAATATATATAACAAAATTAACCATTTTAACTTTTTTTTTTTTTAAAGATTTTGTTTATTTATTTGACAGAGAGAGAGCACAAGCAGGCGGAGCTGCAGAGAGAGGGAGAAGCAGGCTCCCCGCTGAGCAGGGAGCCCGATGTGAGGCTTGATCCCAGGACCCTGGGATCATGACCTGAGCTGAAGGCAGCCGCCCAACCAACTGAGCCACCCAGGCGCCCCGACCATTTTAACTCTTTTTAAACTATTTTTAAGTATACAGTTCAGTGACATAGGTACATTCACATGGTTGTGTAACCATCACCACCGTCCAACTCTAGAACTTTCTCATCATCCCTAATTGAAACTCCATAAACACTAATGCTCCCTTCTCCCCTCCCTCACCTCCAGGCAACCACGATTCTACTTTCTATCTCTATGAATTTGTCTATTCTAGGTACTTCATATAAGTGGAATCATACAATATTTGTCCTTTTGTGTCTGGGTTATTTCACTTAGCATAATGTCTTCACGGTGCATCCAAGTTGTAACATGTGTTATAATTCCCTTCCTTTTTAAGGCTGAATTATAGTCCACTGAGTATACATACCACATTTTGTTTGTCCTTCCATGCATCAATGGATATTTGGGTTGTTTCCACTTTTTGACTGCTGTGAATAATAGGACCATTGGTGTACAAATATCTGTTTGAGTCCTTGTTTTCAGTTCTTTCGGGTATATGACCAATAGTGGAATTGTTGGATCATATGATAATTCTAGGTTTAAGCTTTTGAGGAGCCACCACATTGTTTTCCACAGTAACTGAACCATTTTACATTCCTACTAGCAATGTGAAAGGGTTCCAGTTTTCTTCACATTCTTGCTAATGCTTATTTTGTGTTTTGTTTTTATAATAGCCATGCTAATAAGCATGAAGTGGTTCTCATTTATTTTTATGTCAATGTTTTTAGTGTAAAAGACAGTTCATTTAGACACTACATTCATCAATGTCTGGTGCAAATTAGGGTGTGTGGTGTGTAGATGCTTTTATTCCTCTCCTAGTTCCAAAATTATGTGAGATGACTTCCAGGAACATATGAACAATAAGATACTTAAAATTTTAAGTAATTTTTTTTTAAAGATTTTACTTATTTATTTGACAAAGAGAGAGGGAGAAGCAGGCTTCCCACAGAACAGGGAGCCCGATGTGGGGCTCGATCTCAGGACCCTGGGATCATGACCTGAGCGGAAGGCAGACGCTTAACTGACTGAACCACCCAGGCACCCCAACAATTACTAAAACTGAAGTGGCAAATTTAATACTGAAGGAATTAGGCCAAAGAAAAAGGGAGAAGAGGGCCAGATTCATTTATTCCAGATGATGAAAGCTCAGGAAAAAAGATTATTCTTGGCTTGTAGATGTAAGAAATAAACTGTAACAGTTTTAAAAGACGTGATTAAAAAAAAGAAGAAGAAATGATTATATTATTGCCCCCAGCAGATTTCAGACTGAAAGCAAACAAAAATTTTGATGGCACCGGGAAATGGCTCCCCATAGCCTGACCATTATAAGACTTGTCTCAGTGTAAAATGGTGATTTCAGAGTAAAATTAGGAAAACACAAAGTCAACTCTGCTCATCTCAGCAAAGCAATAACGTGTCTTCCTTTGGACTTCAGTTAATGTTTTATGTAGCACAACGTGCAAGATCTTGAATTGCCTCATACATGTTTATATATGTCCTGGCATTTCCTTTCTAGGTCACAGATTACAAACATATACATGTTTGTACAGATAGTCTTCTTAAGAGTATATCCTTATCTCCCTTTTGGAAAGAAGGGAAGAGCTTCATGTTCAAATTTGATATTGAAATTTCTGTTTCAGTGTGAAACTACAGGAGCAAATGTATCATTTTCAAATTTGTAATAGGAAAAAAAGACTTCATGATAAGCAGATATGTTGTCAAATCAGTCTCAAGCACTTAAAGAACAAAAGAAATAAAAAATAAGAATAGAAGCCATATGAAACAGATGTTTTTAAAGAGCTGAGAAAGTGTCAAAATTACCCTAACATTGAAAGACTTGGTCTGAAGTTTTACCCAGAAGTTTGGATTAAAGGCAGTAATAAACGACGGAGGTTTCTTGAACATTTACAATGTTCTAGGCACAATTCAGAGTGCTTTGTATGTATTAACTCACTTGTTCCTCTACACTTAATACTGTTGTCATCATCATTCCCATTTTATAGAGAGGGAAACTGAGGCATGGAGCAGCTAAGTATCCTTGCTGTAGTTCATACAACTGGGATTCACACATAACCATGCAGTCTGGCTCCAGTAGCCACTCACTTCCCCATGAAATCATACTGCCCCTTGATGTTATGGCAAATGAACCAAGGAAGTTTAGCTAGCTGGCGAATAAACATCTCAGATTTCTGTTGTGTCCCTACAATTTCTTTGTGTGTGTGTGTGTGTGTGTGTGTGTGTGTTTCTTTAGAAGACCAAACTTCCCTAATTATTCTTGAAATTTCTCTTAATATTCTATACAATTCCTTTTGGTAAATTTTTACAAATCATGCTCCAGATTCCAGTTGAATGATGAAACTTTATGCCATTAAAAATAATGTTTTTACAGAGTTTTTAAGAATGTGGAGGAGTGCTTATAAAATGAAGCAAAGCAGCAAGATGTAAATTTGTTGGAAGCCAAGTTCCACCCCTCACCCTCCAAAAAATTCTACTTAAAAAAAAAAAAGATGGGAATGTTTAATTGTGGTTATCATTAGGTAGGAATAATAGGAATGATTTCTGTTCCTGCTTTTCTTAATTTCCGTAAAATTTACCTGAATACCTTTATAGACCCAAAAAATGCAATAAGCTTCGTTTTTTAAAGGACCTTTTTACAAAAGCACAGTACAAAGCTCCTAATGATAACCTTAATTGTATATTTAAAATCATCTCCACAGAGCCCTGTACTGTATGAGTGAAGGTGACATGGTTTAGACTTGCACTGTTGTATATGGACTTTTTCTTAAGATTGATTTGAGAGAGAGGGAGAGAGAGAGAGAGTGGGGGAGGGGCAGAGGGAGAGAATCTCAAGCTGACTCCCCGCTGAGCGCAGAGAGCCCAGTTCGGGCTCCATCCCACAACCCTGAGAGCATGACCTGAGCCGAAATCAAGAGTGGATGTTTAACCGACTCAGCCACCCAGGTGCCCCAGGGCTATTTAATTAAAATGAAATAAAATAAAAAACTCAGTTCAGCAGTACACTAGCCCCATTTTAAGTGTTCAGTAGCCACAAGTGGCTAGTGACAGCTTTTCCATCCACACAGAAAGTTCTGTTGCACAGCACTGCTTTCAAGGAAAGAACATGGAATCTGGAGCGAGGTGACTTGGCATCAAATCCTGGTAGGAGTTGACACTTGCTGTGTGAAATGGGCGATTTACTCACCTCTCTGAGCCTATAGACAAATTAGGAGTTATAGTAATATCGCTTTCCATGTAAGGAGATTAAGAATATCGAATAAGATAATGCATGGGACAGTTCTCCAAAAACTGTACTGTGGCTCACCAGGTAGTAGCTACTTCACAAACCCCCCAGTTGAACTTAATCTGGCTCTTCGTGGACTGATTCTGAATCCATACTTGGTTCCTACCGAGACTTTTGCCTAAATGACACTGTAAAAATCAGATTTACCAGCTCTTACCACAGTTCCTAGGCCAAGTCCTTGGCAATGTGGATGTTCCATTTCTCTCTTGTAAAAAGCTTCAGCACACAGCTCCATCTATCTTGTAGAATAACACCTCCTCCAAGTTTTCCTTGACAACTTAAATACAATGCTATTTCCATTCCTAAATGGACAAGACTGTTTTTAAAAAGAAAGCAAAGAAAGAGGCTTTGTCTGCCCAAGAAATAAATGGGGTAAAATGCTGTAACTAAAAGGAAATCAATCTCAGTTAACAGTGCATGAGTTGAGCAAAAGATGTTGCCATTTGCTGCAAGAATGTGAGGTTTTCACTAACGAATTACAACAGGTTCGCTGTGCCTAAAAGCTGTTGGTGTACTGATTAAGCGGAAGTACTTGCTCATTCTTGACTTTTTTTTTTCCGAGTCACTTCTGGTTTTTCCTGCAAAACAACTTGACTAATTTAGACTCTGTTCGCGCTGCTGTATTTATTTCTCATCTAACCACCTGCTAGTTAAGCGTGAGTCTCGCATTGTCTTAAAAGAATGAAGTAGCCCAGGTGAGGCTCGCCGTGGTGCAGATTCCACGCTCACCTTCTCACCACCCCCCCCCCCAGGTCTCCTCCAGCTGTGGATGCCTTTGACATTATGACCGCAGAGGATTCCACCGCAGCCATGAGCAGCGACTCAGCCGCCGCCGCGTCCTCCGCCAAGGTGCCGGAGGGCGTGGCCGGCGCGCCCAACGAGGCGGCGCTGCTGGCGCTGATGGAGCGCACCGGCTACAGCATGGTGCAGGAGAACGGGCAGCGCAAGTACGGTGGCCCGCCGCCTGGCTGGGAGGGCCCGCACCCGCAGCGCGGCTGCGAGGTCTTTGTGGGCAAGATCCCGCGCGACGTGTACGAGGACGAGCTGGTGCCCGTGTTCGAGGCTGTGGGCCGCATCTACGAGCTGCGCCTCATGATGGACTTCGACGGCAAGAACCGCGGCTACGCCTTCGTCATGTACTGCCACAAGAACGAGGCCAAGCGCGCCGTGCGTGAGCTCAACAACTATGAGATCCGCCCGGGCCGCCTACTCGGCGTGTGCTGCAGCGTGGACAACTGCCGCCTCTTCATCGGCGGCATCCCCAAGATGAAGAAGCGCGAGGAGATCCTGGAGGAGATCGCCAAGGTCACCGAGGGCGTGCTTGACGTCATCGTCTACGCCAGCGCGGCCGACAAAATGAAGAACCGCGGCTTCGCCTTCGTCGAGTACGAGAGCCACCGTGCCGCCGCCATGGCGCGCCGCAAGCTCATGCCCGGCCGCATCCAGCTCTGGGGCCACCAGATCGCCGTGGACTGGGCCGAGCCCGAGATCGACGTGGACGAGGACGTGATGGAGACCGTGAAGATCCTCTACGTGCGCAACCTCATGATCGAGACCACCGAGGACACCATCAAGAAGAGCTTCGGCCAGTTCAACCCGGGCTGCGTGGAGCGCGTCAAGAAGATCCGCGACTACGCCTTCGTGCACTTTGTCAGCCGCGAGGACGCCGTGCACGCCATGAACAACCTCAACGGCACCGAGCTGGAGGGCTCGTGCCTCGAGGTGACGCTGGCCAAGCCCGTGGACAAGGAGCAGTACTCCCGCTACCAGAAGGCGGCCAAGGGCGGCGGCGCGGCCGAGGTGGCGGTGCAGCAGCCCAGCTACGTGTACTCTTGCGACCCCTATACGCTGGCCTACTATGGCTACCCCTACAACGCGCTCATCGGACCCAACAGAGACTACTTCGTGAAAGGTTAGTGGGGGCTATTCTGCAAGGGGGGCCCCGAGAGCCGCGGGGCCCGGGCCGCGTCGGGGGTGTTGTGGCTGTAATTGGCCGAGCTGGTAGATGGGTTCCTACCCCCACTCACCCACCCTCGCTTGGGTCTCAGTTGTGGGGTCTGTTCTTGTCTGGCACTTGGGGCATTCGCTTCCATAGCACTGAGGGAAATGCGGGCCATTCCTCCGTATGGGGTGAGCGGTGAAATCACGTGGCCATGCAAGCGTTTCTTGCATACTACCTTTGCAGGACCTACCCAGTGTGGGGCTAGTCCGCCACTCTCTGGGTACTTAGGTTAAAACCTCCTTGTGAAATTAAATCTTAAGGATGTTGGAGGGTAGGAAGTAGGATGTTGTTGGCGTGGTGGTAGTGGTGAACTTAACTGGCTAGGGTATAATGAAACCAGGCATTACACGGGGAAACCAGTACCTAGGTTCTGGGTCCTGCTGTCATCAGATTAACTGGCTCTGTGACTTTCATCAGTCCCTTTAACCTCCCTGGGCCAGTTTTCTCACGCATAAGATGAGGAAGGCGAACCAACAGATCCCCTTCCAGATCTAACTTCTTTTACAGCTCCTGAATGTTGTTCTTTATTGAACTTGTGGTCACAGTCCTAGGAACTCACCATGCAAGTTCATCTCTTGCATTAAGCAGACATACTTAGGGTATGAATCTAGGCGGGAATAGAATGTTGGAAGCATCTTCCCAGCTCATTGAAGAGCAACCTACACATCACCTGCAACTTAGACTCAGGGCAAACACCTAAATGCCAAGAACCTTGAGTTAAGATCTGCCTCTTGCACAGTCACTGTTGGATGCTCATCATTGTGTGTGTTGTTATTATAAGCAGGCAGCGTAAGAGGCCGGGGTCGAGGTGCGGCCGGCAACAGAGCCCCAGGGCCCAGGGGTTCCTACCTCGGGGGATATTCAGCTGGCCGTGGTATATATAGCCGATATCATGAAGGGAAAGGAAAGCAGCAAGAAAAAGGATATGAACTCGTACCGAATTTGGAAATCTCTGCCGTCAATCCAGTTGCCATTAAACCTGGTACAGGTCAGTATAAACCAGAGATAGAATGCATCCATTCAGCCGAAACCCCAGTGCTCTCTTTGAAGTGACCCCAAGATGTCTTCGGGCTCTTTCATTTGCATCTGTGTTCCTCTTCCAACAGGCAGCTGAAGGTTAGGCAAAGACTATGGCCTCCTGGGCCCTTTCCTAGAACTTGAGGGGATGCTCTAGCTCTGATCATGTTCAAGTCAAACTTTCCAGTAGTGGGTTTGATGTCACCAGTTGTTAGGCTGTTTTTCAAGCTGTGACCCAGTAGGCAGAGTTGGAGTGGTGGGGGGGGGCAGACGAAGACAACGGAAGACTAGGAGGCTCTTCTGTACCTTCTTTGAGCTCAAGCTGTCTTCTCCCTCCTCGAGCCCTATTGCTACACCAGCAGTCAGTGGCCGGAGGGTACAGCTGATCGCCGGTTCTGACAGTTGGTGGAAAGGGTAGAAAATTCCCCTTCAGGAGCACAAAACTCAAGTGTCCCTTGTCGTGGTGTTAGAACAAACCAGAACACCTGGGAACAAGACAGCAGTGCAAGTTTTTGCAGCTGCTCATTTCCTGGATTCTGACTTCCAGCACTCCTCTCTGCCCCTCTCGCTGGATCACTAGATTGGGGGTAGGGACACTCAAGTAATTCAAGCCAGAAACCTTGAACGTTGCTTTCACCTCCAGGCCCCACAAACCAGTTTGCCAGTGTTAATAGTGCCCATTGGTCACCTAACACGAGTCGGGTCTTTTTTCTGATCCTAACTTGCGAGGAACTCCATGAAGAGAGCGTCGTGGCACCAGCTCCCTATTAGCACACATTGCACAGGCATCCAAACATGGGGAAAATTCCTTCATGGACAGTCAGAGCGATCCTCCTCAGCCCTCTTCCTGGTTTCAGGGAGGGTAAATCGAAGAGCTCTTGGAGAGAATCCTCCCCTTGAAGCTCAGCTACTCTGATTTTCTTCTAGTTGAGTATTGTACACTCCCTCCCCTAGCTAAGAGATTCAAGGAATCTGCATTTGGGGCATAGGTTTGCATTGCCACATAGGGCTTAAAAAGCCTTTCCCAGTAGAGCTTCCTTTTGATAATCCAATGATAATTTTTTTTTCCTGTGAAAAAATGTTGTAAATTCTCAGTCACGTGACTCCTTACACTGGATTTCCTTATAAATGCCATTGACGCCATAAGCAATGTTAAACTGATCACGTATCTCTCTGTAATGCCATAAAACAGAGCCTGGATATGGGAGTTGTCACTTCTACCTTTTGGAAGAGGGACTCCTGTTGGCAAGTTGCAATAGTGTAAGATTTAACTAGAGAAAAGAACTCTTAAGCCATCTTTAAGTGTATAGTCGTGTCCTGGGGCCTGACGTAGAAATTCCTATGGGCTGATAGCCGAAACAATCCAGAGGTACTCAGTACAACCCCAGTGTAGCTTAAACTCCTTATTGCCTCAGGTCCCCATCCCCTTGGCCTCTATTTCTAATTCATCCAAAAAATTAAAACTTCTAGTGAAGTATGTGGCCACAAGACCATATGATTGAAAAGGCAGGTGAAGGATTTTGTTAACGTTTTAGGTCCATTTTATTGAAAGGCCATACCATTGTTTAGCCTGCAATCATTTGTTTCTTTACCTCATATCAAGTCAGCTTGTAGTAGAGTAAATATACCTACAGTTGTAGGAAAAAACATGAATGAAAGCCCCCTCTGTGTATGCATTTTATAGTCTTGCTTACCCTTCAACACACGCCCACATACCACATACTCACAGACTCCCCCAAAACCAGGGCTAGAATTTTTTCCTTGTTACCTCTTTCTATATGATGGCATTCATTAACTGCTGTCTGTTTGAGCCCCTGGTTAAAATAGAATCCCTTGAGTAATGTTTGAGTCCCTGGTTAAAGTGGAATCCCTTGGACTTTACTCACAGGAACACATCTTTGAGTTGGCAGGGCCCATCCTAAAGCCAGTCACTCAGCTGCTTCGCTACTGAGTGGACATTAGAAAATGAGGGAATTTGCCATTTTTTATTAAGTATTTTTCCTTGAATCAGTAATGCTGAAATCTGAAACACAGAGTAGGGAAGGCATGCACAGACCTCTGAGTTCCCCAGAAGGAAACCCTCCCCGGCACCTGCTTCTTAAAACGTGAAAGCGAAAGGGTGGCGGGTCTGGTAATGAGCCAGGTGAGTGATGAGGGTCAGCAGGCTCACTCCTGCTCGCACCTGGTGGGCCTCGAGCCTCTGATCTCACTTCTCACTCTGAGCCTCCCCTCTCAGTCAGAAGGCCCTTTCCTGTGCTGTGGGAACAGCAAGAGTGGGATTCAAGATGAGATTTCTCTGTAGCAGCAGGAGGAAAAATGTTAGTGCAGACACCTAACTCTGGACATCTTTCCATGAGCATCTGTTGGGAGACTCCTTTCGTACCCACGTGGTTCCTTTTGCGGGTCGGGCAGGGCTCGGGGGACGTACCTGCCAGCTCCCCTCTCTTCTTCCTGGGTAGCGCCTTGGTACCCGGACTGAGGGAGCATCAGTTAGCCACGGAGGCCCGTGACCACCACACTTGGCTTTGAAAAATAGCAAGAAAGCTGGGGCGCCTGGGTGGCTCAGTTGGTTAAGCGTCTGCCTTCGGCTCAGGTCATGATCCCAGGGTCCTGGGATCGAGCCCCGCATCGGGCTCCCCGCTCCGCGGGAAGCCTGCTTCTCCCTCTCCCACTCCCCCTGCTTGTGTTCCCTCTCGCTGTCTCTCTCTATCAAATAAATAAAATCTTTAAAAAAGAGAAAAATAGCAAGAAAGGGACGGGTCTTCCTCGGGGACTTTCAAGCGATGTGCGTTTCCCTGTCCCTTCTCTTGCAGTGGCCATCCCTGCCATCGGGGCCCAGTATTCCATGTTTCAGGCAGCGCCAGCCCCTAAAATGATCGAAGACGGCAAAATCCACACAATGGAGCACATGATCAGCCCCATCGCTGTGCAGCCAGACCCAGCCGCTGCCGCCGCCGCTGTCATTCCCGCCGTGTCAACACCGCCTCCGTTCCAGGTAGAGCGCTTGCTGGGGTCTTCGACATCCGACATCCGTGTGGGAGGCCTCCCTTTATCATGGATTCATTTCCCTGTCGGCAGGAGAAATCGCGGTGTGCCTAGCTCTCTGATGAAGTGTGGGATGGGGCGACAGGAAAAATGGGTCCTGTAAATCATGCCAGGACAGAAAAGTTTCAAATAATAATTGTACTACCCTAATGTCATCACTGTACGAAAGATGGGAAGCCATATGCAAAAATGACACATGTAATTCTTCACGGTGTCATAATAACTGCACATACGATTTTTTTTTTATGACGCTGGATAATTTTTAACTCAATGTTCTTACTGTTAAGCGGCTGACTCCCAAAGTCCAGGGAGATCGCTCACATTTTCACATTCCAAATTGCAGTTCGAGGAAGATTTTTTTTTTTTTTTTTTTTTAAGTTCTCTCAGGGCGCCTGGGTGGCTCAGTCGGGTAAGGTTCTGACTCTTGATTTCGGCTCAGGGTCGTGAGATCGCACCCCACATCGGGCTCTGTGCTCAGAGCAGAGTCTGCTTGAGATTCTGTCTCCCTCTGCCCCTCCCCACCCCGAGATCTCTCTCACTCTCAAATAAATAAATGAATCTTAAAAAAAAAAAAAAAAGCTCTCTCTCCCCCCACCTGTATATGAATATTTCAGTATGTATATCCATATAAAGGTATATAAGAGTGTGCGTGGAGAGAGAACTATCTGTAGAGTTACAGCTGTATGAAGCTTCACAAAATCTGCCCTTAATCCTCTCCTCTAAGCAGACGCAGCCATTCCCACTCCTCCTCCTCCCAGTTCTGTCTTACCGTGCCAGCCCCCTTCCCCACCTTTGCTCACAGCTTCTCTTCTGTGTGGTGTCTTCAGTCTTGTGACTTCTGTAGAATCTTTCCCATCCACCCGAGCCTTGGAAATCCTGTCTCCTGGATGTCTCGTCACCCGTGTTATAACTTGGCGTATGATTGCCATTGTGTTCTAGCTCCCCAACTCATGAAGCTCCTCTAGACCGAGAGTTACATCTTATGTTTTCTTTTTATCATCAGTGCATGACACGTAGAGAATACCTATAGACGATATGTCATTCATCCGAAAAAAACAAACAAAACAATAGAATCTTGTTAAAGCTACTTTTTGTGAGGCAGTGAATCTCAAATACCTTTTCAGTCAACAAAGATACTCAGGCCTGGGGTCTCTTCCCTAACTGGATTAGAATTATCCAGGGAATAGGTTTACAAAACAGATTCTTAGACTCAACCCCAGAAGATTCCCACTGGGCAGATCTCAACTGGGGTTCTAGAATCCATGTTTTGTATTGGCTCTTCCGTGAGGCCGGCTGGTGAGCCACCACATTGGAATGCTGTCGTTTTTGCCTTCTCTGTGCACAGTCTTGACTGTGCCAGTCAGAAATGGTCACGCCAGTTGAAGTCTATTCATCTATCGGTGGGTCATCAAGTATTCCTTAAGTCTGGACTTCTAAAACCAGAAAAAGGAATCGGTTGTAAATGACTCCTCACACTCTAAAATGGCAACTGAGCGTAGCTGCTACTTGTGGACTGACTAATAAATATCTGCAGTAACCTCCAAACAATAGTTGGTGGAATTCTGGTAATAATTTCGAATTTCTCTTTACTAAGGAACTCGTGCACTTTTGTCCTTGGTGTGTAGTGTCCCAAATTCCAGGTCTCGTACTCACGCTGTTCCGGTCTTTTATCAGTCTCCACTCAGTGTTGCCATCAGGGTCTCTGTTCAGAGTCTTTGCTTATGAATTTGTTCAGTACACAGTCATTATCAGTTGATTCCGATGGAGATTTTCTTCCCCCTGTCCTTCAACATATCCTGCGGAATGCCTGGAGCTACTTACTTTTGGACTTGGGAATGGCTTCTTTGAGTATGTGTGGCCTTGGTGCTCATCCGCCAGTCTCGGTTCTCTGCATCCTCCCTCTGAGTTCTTTGACCCTGGGCTCTCTGAATGTCTGGCTCTCTACCCCGACTCCTGTGTTCTCTGCCAAATTGCAGCAGAAGGAGCATTAAGCACTACTGATTGGTGAGTAGAACACTTTTCCAAATGGAGCCACACTAGAAACCCGTTCCCAGCATTACTTCCAGAACCTTCCTGTGGAATACCTTCAGTCATACTCCTCTGTCTTGCATGTGCTCAGGGATGTTCCTGCTTAGCCATTTTATATTCTCAATTTCATAAAGGCTTTGTAAGTAATTTAAGAAAACGTTTACTGGCAGAGACTTTCTTTTAAATTTATTTCTCAAAGTGTTCTCAATCTTTACAAATCTATGGTATAAGTAGAGCAGGGATAACCATTCCCCTTGGTGAGGTCTTTTCCTCACCTCTCTCCCCCCCTAACTCCCCATGCTCAACCCTTCCAAGCCTAGGTGTTGAGCTGGACCTTAGCACATGGAAAGGTTTCTCGCGGATGCCCTCTTCCCTGCAATTTCATCCTTCTGTGCACTTGTCACTAAATATATGTCCACCCATTTGGAAAAGACTGCGTGTATCTTGCCGTAAGCCACCGTCTTCCCCCTTCTGAAGTTTCTCACTTGCCAGTGAGATACTCGTTGTTTCAGTGTTGTAGGAGACGAGATAATACAGGGCTAAAAGTGCAGGCTCCAGAGTCACACATTTCATTGCTTAAAAGCTGTGTCACCTTGTGCAGGTCATTTAACACATCCAAACCGCTCCGTATAATCATAGTACCAGCTTCATTGGTGGTTGTGATGATTCCATAACGTCATACAAATAAGGCACTTAGAATAGTGCCTGGCAGACCACAGTCCCTCGGTTGTTGTTATCATTTAGTAGAATTACTATTTTGGTTACAGTGGAAAAATGGCTCTTAGATGGTGACTTCCTTTGAATGTAATTTTGTGACTCTCCTTTGCAAATTTTGTAAACGAATGATAACTAATTCCCTTACGAAAATCCAGGAAGAACTCCTTTTTAAAAATCGAATTCTCCATTTCGTATATCCTGAATTGTTTACTTTGACGCTGCATGAAGACATAGAGGCCATAGCGACATTTACTGCAGGGTATTCTGAGGAACATAAAGCACACTAGGTATTTTGTTAAGTGTGTGTTTTATTTTACCACAAATCCCCCTTTCCATAAAGCATCTCACAGAACTGGCTCCAGAGCAAACCCTTTGGGAAATACTGAGCCACAGGCTTCACTCTTTACACCTGTTTGCTTGGAAAACGTAGCATGTCAGGCTTTCAAGTAGAGAAGAGCAAGTGGCAGGGACTCTGATGGAGTCCGTGGTGGCATCTGCTGTGAGGCAGCTGTAGCGAGCTTGCCTTTCCCTACTTCCTTCTCCTGTGGAAACTCCTCCTCATCCTTCAAGACCCACCTCAAATGTCTCTGCTTCCACAATGCTTCCTCCACCTTCCCAAGTGAATTGGTTCCTTTTCTAAGCCTCTACGCCCATCGGTACAGTTGACCCTTGAACAACACAAGGGTTAGGTGTGCCCCCCCATGCAGTTGTAAATAAATCCCTATAAAACTTTTGACTCCGCCACAACTTAACTACTAACAGCCTACTGTTGTCCAGAAGGCTTACTGAGAACATGAACAGTCGATGAAACATAGATTGTGTATGTTATATGGATTATATACTGCATTCTTACAGGAGAGTAAACTAAAGAAAAGAAAATGGGTAAGAAAATCATAAGTGAGAGAAAGTACATACATAATACTGTGCTGAACTTAGCGGAAAAAATCCACATAGAAGTGGACCCACTCAGTTCAAACCCGTGTGGTTCAAGGGTCAACTGTATATATCGTGGGTGTCATACCTTAGGTGGGAGATGGTCGAAATCATCAATCACACTTACTGAAAATTGTCTGTGGTCCCAGGGTTTTTAGGTCACAGCTTAAAAAGCTGCACCTATGGAGATCTCTACACTGGGTTCCGTAACACTGTCACTGTCTGTTGTCCTCTCCCGTTTTTGAAGCACCATGTTCCGTCAGTTAAATAAGAGTTGAGGCGGCTGGTGTGTATTTTAGGGACCATATTTTTAATTACAGTGAGATCAACTGAGCAAAGGGTAGATTCTCCACTCCCTTTTCTAGCTGGCGCTGGGGCATAGGCCGCTGGAAAGGAATGGCAAGATCGACGATTCCAGCGTATTTAAACTTTCCCTTAGCTTGACAGTTCCGTCACTTTGACCAGTTGAACTCGGAGCCTTGAGGACGCAACTCCAACTTAACCTTAATGGCCCTTATACCACCTTCCCTTACAACAATTATTTATTTTGCCCGTCCGCCTCCCCATCCTGAGAATGAAAACCTTTGCCTTCACCTCTCCCTGTGTCGCACCCTGGGGAACGGGAAGGACGAATGGAGCCGGGGCCCGCATGGGCTGACTCCACGGGACGGGCACCGCTGTGCCGTCAGTAAGGAGCCTTTCTGTCTCTCCCCCCCAGGGCCGCCCGATTACCCCAGTGTACACGGTGGCTCCGAACATTCAGAGAATTCCCACTGCTGGGATCTACGGGGCCAGTTACGTGCCATTCGCTGCTCCAGCCACTGCCACGATCGCCACACTACAGAAGAATGCGGCCGCCGCCGTCTACGGAGGCTACGCGGGCTACATACCTCAGGCCTTCCCCGCCGCTGCTATTCAGGTGCCCATCCATGACATCTACCAGACGTACTGACACTGGTGAGGAGAGTGGAGGCAGACCACAAACTACCCGTGAAGGAACACTTTACTATTTATGAAGAAAGAACGTGTGGGATTAGCACACTCACGAAACCTGAAAGTGAAGAATGTTATCCAATATCAATCACCCTGAAAGATTTTATATTCATGAAGTTTCCACTAGTTGTGTTGTTTTTCTTTTTTTTTTTTTAAGACTGTTTTCAACTTAGCCCTTGTTCATACATTTCTAAGAGACTTGCAACGGTTCATGCCTTAATACCATCTCTCAAAAATTTGTATGCCGTAGTACGTTTGTATAGAGGTTTTTTGTTTTTGTATTTTTAAGGATATATTTTCAGTATGAAGGTTATTTTCTTAACTTCTACACTCCAGAGATTTCTATTTTGTAGTACCTTCGATAATATATCAACTATATATTGAAAAGCACATTTGAGCAGCTAGGGAACTGTTTTGAAAAATAGATTCAATATTTAAAGATACAAACAATAGTGCTTTAAAATACTACATAAAATGTTATTTTAAAAGTTATACTAGAAAGTGCAATTTTAAAGTGAGTAAAATCTCTGTTTCAGCTGCATTAAGGGTTGATGGTGTTACCACGTGTTAAGATGATGGTTCTACTATTTTTTTTTTTTTTTAAAGAAAGTAAACACTCGATCTGTCTTTAAGCCCACGTTGAAAAGACTTGTCACACTTCTAAGTCCAAACACTGGAAAGCTCTCACCGGCCACCATTACCCTGTTTCCCCGCTCCTTCTCCACGTGTCTTGCCCTCCCCACCCCCCTATTCATTCCTTCCTTCCTATCCCCAGCCCCACCTCCAAGTTTGGCAAGTCTAGGGCGAATGAATTCCTCTGATAGAGAGAACTTTGATGGCTTTTATACTTCTTCCTGGGTTTTTGTGGGGTTTTTTTGTTTTGTTGTGGGTTTTTCTTTTTGTCTTGGTTAGAGAGGTATTTTCAATAGCAGAGTATGCATAAGCACAAGATTGTAATACTTTCCATAAGACATTTTTGCATAGCTATTTAATGTCTCATATAAAACCTTAGTTCCTTTTCTAATGCTTTTATTTTATTCGTTTTTGAAGTAGGAGTTTGTAGAGACAGTGAATGTTGTTGTCGGCAAGGCCCCCAGAGACTCTTGTCGCAGAAAGTTATGCTTCTAGCTGCCTTATCATGTTTCAATGCAAATTGTCTGTGGTCGTCAAGGGTATTGGAAATATTATGTTTATTGAGCAGGGCTTTCCTCTGTTGCTGTGCACGTGGTAGGTGAGCCGACTTGGGGCGCGCACATCCAGGAGGAGGAGGAGAGACCTGTAGAAGTTAAAAGATAGCTTGTAAATAATCTCCTAATGCTGGTTTTTAGTTGTTTAATGTTGCGGAAGTTCTTGGTATATAGTTTAATGCAGAGTGAAACCATTTTATTTCAATGTTATTAAAAAGTTTTGTTTCTTATTAGGAAGTAAATGTATTGTTGCAGTGTTGTGCCTGTTTCAAGGCTTTTGTTTAGCAGAGTGAATGTAAAATACAGTAAAATGTTAAGATTGTCATCTGCTTTATAAAATACATCAACTTGGAACTTTTTTTTAAAGGCTCCATCAAGGAATTGAGGTGTGCAATAGGTAGCAAGGACACAGTTGTGTGTTTATGTCACATTAGAGATCTATAAAATCTTTCCACTCACTGAATTTTTGCTAATGGCTGAATTCTTATTTATGGATTAATAATAGGATCATGCCTTTGGCAAGTATTTTAGTTTTGTTTTAAATTTTAAATTAAGAGATTCCCAAATGCCTTTTCCCTCCCCCTCATCTTAGGGTGGGATGAATTTTTTATATATAAGCAATATTTATTTAACTATTCTATAAAATTATTGAGTGCCTACAAAGGCCTTTAAACATTTCTAACATTTCTTTCCATCGTTCTTAAATGACATAAAATAATCGTGCAATGTTCCTGATGATGTACCCAGCAAGCTGCATCCAAACTCGAATCTGTTGGAATGAGTAATCCAACAAAATGCAATTTGGATCAGATCCTCATCCCTTGACTCGGTGTGAAAGAACTTCCAGTGAAGGATTGTCGCAGAGTTCACTGGATGAGACTCTGACCTAGCAGTCTTACTGTATTTTACATATGCCTGTAAATTATTTGCAAAAAAGTAATAATAATGAAAAGAAAAATTGATATCTTAACATGGCAACTACCAAACTACCTTAAAAACAGATATCGGTGAGCCTCCTCTCTATGGTCTGTTTCTGTTTCAAAACCATTTCACGTACACTACTGAGGTAAGTTTATAACTTGAAATGTGAACTTTTTTTTAAGGGTTAAGAACAAACTAAATGTTAAAAAAAAAAGCTTTAGTGTTCTCTGTTTTCAAACATTGCTAGTAGTTTAGTTATCTTTAGTTGCTTTGTATTTGAAAAGCTTTTAAGTTTATTTAGATCTTTCTCCATTTACAATACATTCTTAGGATGTATGTAGTAAATAAAGCTTTCTTTAAAGCAGTTTCGAGACCTTATTTTAAATTGTGTTTTCTTTATACTGATTTTTTTTTTCCCTAACAAAATTAGAGAAACCCTTACGGTATGGAAGGAAGCAACTAGTTCAGTATCTTCAGCCAGAGAAACCAGCAAGTTACTCTCATGTTTTTGGCTTGGAATTACATTGAAGATGGGTTATATAGTAAAAATTGTGCATTATCAGTATCATCAAACTTGAGCTTAGGTGATTGAAGGTTAAGCACCCAAATTCTACTCAACATCTGGACTGGAATAGGATGTGGCTAAGCCTGTCATTGCTGTCAGTCCCGATGGTTATGATCCCAAGAGCTCCACACTCAGACCTCTAAAAATGGAGGCAGTTGATGTGACATTGAGTTTGTTTGGTGATCTTGTGAACATGCTGGGTGACCTGAAGGTCCGTCACTGCCTTCAGAAACCAAAGCCTTGTGTTCCTCATTTTCACAGTGCACAGCAAGGTTAGCTGGACACTTCCTTCCCTTCTCTCTAGAGAGCATCACTAACTTCAGACATTGTCCATTAGCAAAGCCAATCAAATGGTTCAACGGCAGGTGATAGGTTGTCAATAGAATTACTTCTAAAGAACTTGCCCCACATGGCTTTACCATTGATTAAGAATTTTATCTTTTAGTCTTGAGCGGTCTGGGTTACGGCCTTCCTTCTCACATTTCTGGGAATGGTAACTTCTTGCCTCCTCTTAAAAAGATAAAGCTCTTTTTTAGAGGCAGGAGGGACCAGCAAACATCCCAAGATGACAGATCATTAGGCAATATTTTCAAGGGCAACAAGATCTGCTGGTTTCTTTTTGTTCTAGGAGCAGAGTACAGATGCTCTTCAAATTGCAGAATCACAGAGTTTGATCTCATTAGAAAAAGAATAATCATATAAAATGTGTATCACACCTCTACCGGGTGCCAGGGTTGGTTCTGTGTGCTTATAGCAACCACAGCATGAATAAGCCCACAGAATCGTGCACGAGTAGAGCTTACATTCCGGTGGGAAAACGCAGATTGAGCAGATAAACAGCATGGTGGGTAGGGACAAATGCTATGATGACGTGACTCATTGGGCTCCTTGGCTTCCATAATCTCATGTGGACCTCACAAAAACTCAGTGAAGTAAGCAGTGTAACTGGCCAAGGTCACACAGCTGGTAAGGACCTGGACTGAAATCTGTGCTCAGATTCCAAGTCCCGGATTCTTGCCAACAGTACACTGACCCTGGAAGTGGATAAAACCAGTCATGCCAACAGCCCACCTCAGAGACCAGAGAAAGAAAAGCAAAGCTGCTCTACGAGTACAGTTTTCCATTGGGTTCTAGTATGGTTCCGTATGCGGCCTCTTTCCTTGGATGAGACCTGAAGGCCAAATGGCTGAGAATGCCTCTTCTCAGCCTGCAAGACCTCGCAGCTCTACAGAGAGCTGCTAAAAATGTCCACGCTGGGAGATTTAAGGAATTCTATCTACAAGGCTGTGCCAGAGATGGTAGAGAAGGCTAAAGAACTGTCATAGGAAGTCAGCTATACGCTTCTGAATCTTCACTAGAATAGGTGCCCCACTTTTTTATTCCAAAAATATCTGTCATGACATATACATAAGCAGTATACATAAGTATATGTATATACATAGCAATATACATAAGCAGTTATTTAGTTGAAAGAACAGTTAGAAAACAAAGCTCTGGTTTTATTTTCTAGTGAAGGATAATCCCATAACAGTCCAACATACACCAGATGCTGTTACATGGCACGCACTGTGTGTGGCATGTTTTGTTAGCTATAATTGACCTTCCCGGCTTATTAAACTCTGTTTTAAGGATATTAGAGTGCTTGGCTATTGAACAGAAATATATATAGAATATTATCTCAATTATTACCTTACAAGTCTTCTGGGCACTCAGCTTCTACCAGAGTTGGGTTTTTGTTTTTTCTTTTTTAACATGAAATGTGACATTTTGGCATGGCTGTTTTGATGAAATGACATTTTGACACCATGGCCCTTAAAAAAAACAAAACAAAACACATCTTCAGCTTTTATAAAAATGACTGGGTAGGCTGATACAGACGTACTCACTTTATCCTTGCCCTATCACTTTCTTGACACATTCCCCATCTCTGACCACCCAAGGTCAAGGGCAGGATTAGGCTTCAGTACAAAATGAGGTTCAGGAGACCTCCACAAAGTGTTTTGCTTCAATTTCAAGTTCTAAGCTGTTGGACTGGATACAGCCTTTTCTTTCTCCTCTTTTCCTTTTCAGTGATCCCTTCCTAGATATTCATTATTCCTCTGTCTCCTAACTTCTTACACCAATTTACCTGGAAAAAATCTGGTTGCCCAAAGACTTGCCTCTGTGGACAAACACCCTGACCTTGTGGAACAAGGCTGGGTTTGTAGTCCATCTCCCGGGGCATTAAAACCCCAGCTTTGCTAGTTACCAGACATGTGACTTCAGAAAAGACGCCTTGCCTCTCTGAGCACCAGTTTCTTAACTGGTAAAATACATAATAATAATCCAGACCTCACAATGTTATTGCATAAATTAGATGAATTAATGGACCTGGTATGTTGTAGGCGCTCAAGAAACCCATTTCCTTTCCCTTCCCCTGTAGTGGAATGCCTTCTGCTATATTAACTCTATTAAGCCTTTCTGTTTTATCCCTTTTGATTCCTTTTTGTTTTCATTGGTTCATAAACATTTATTGAATGCCAACTGTGTGCCAGGACAGCATGAGGCATTGGAGAGACAACAATCAACAAAATTGACCCTCTGCCCTCCAGAAACTCCCAGGTGTGATAAGATAGTGCTGCAAGCGCTATGAAATGGGAGGGGGCAGCCCCCCGCAGGCTTGGGCAGGGGGTTAAGAAGGACTGGGGGAAAGAAGTCGCATCTGAGCAAAGATCTACAGAATGAATAGGAGTTAGGGCAGCTGAGCAGAGAGAAGAGGGAGCAGGAAGTAGCCAGGTGTAGAAGAAAAAAAACATGGAATTGTCAGGTACCCGGAACAAGCTGAGTATGGCTATCTCAGAGAAAGAGAAAGGGTGTGCAGTGAAGAAACTCAACCTTTGTCCCGTTCAACATTAAACAGGGTTCATGGGCCTGTGTTAGCTGTAGAAGGAAGAGATTTGGCCCCTAAAACAAGGTAGTGGGAAGAACCCTACATCATTCTTCCTTAGAACTTTGAGTTCCAGAAAATGGCAGAGCTCCCCTGCATTTACTAAACTGCCGAGAAACCTAGCTTTCTCTCAGTCAACAAGCATGGTGCATCTGAGCACTCCCCCTAGTGGGCAACTCCCACCGTTTTGTCTTCCTGGTCCCAGGCGATGCCCGCCAACCTTAATCTTGTGGTGGAGAGTTTATGGGGTCAGCCAGGGCTCTTAGGGTTCCCCACCCCTTCCTTCCTTAGGTCCACTTTCCAGGCTCTGGAACCTTCCTCCCTTTCCTCTCGGAAATCAGACTATAGCTACGTGTGCTGGCCAGGGTTTCCCCACTCTCCCCGTGGCAGCCCCACAGACACGCAGACTTCTCAGCAAAGGTGAGGGAGGCCTATAGTCCTCCACGGGACTGTGAGGGCAGAGCACGGTTTCAAGGAAAATCTTCCAGGACTCACTGGCTTCCTCGGTGGGCTTATATTTTCCTGTGACTCTGTTCCACACAATTATACCCACAACCAAATGCAACACCAAACCCTGCATTTGCAAGAAATATGACCTTTCCTGAGCTAATTTTTAGCCATCCCTCTTTCTTGGCTTGCTCTACTTTGTTTGTCAAAATTTTTCATTAATGATTAACCAACCACGAGGCTTAAATAGGCCTTAGTCATTCTGAGGCAGGTAAGACAAGTTGCTGAAGTCCAGTTATTTCTGAGATGACCTTGCTGGGAGCGCTGGGTCAAGACATTTTGAGCTTATGGTATTAGGATAACACTGGGCCATTCCAGTTTGCTTGTTGCAGGGAATTTTTCTCTCTGTTTTCAGGACCTTTATTCTAAAGAGTGGTGGCACCAGGAAATGGTATTTCTATCAGCCTCACCAGCTTCAGCCCAACCCTGATTCAAATATGGCCACTTGATACTTTCTGAATCTTACACAGAGTGCTAAGCAACTCCAGCTCCTGACAGGCCCTTAATCTCCCCTTTCCAAATAAGATGCGCCCCTAAGAGGAGAAATTCTGGAAATGTGGCTGAGTCTAAATATGCTCTAGCATTTCTTGAAGGAAGAATTCAGAGCATAAGAGATGATAAAGAAAATAATCTATTTTGCATCATTTCCTGACACCTAAGTGCAAATAATCCCTTGCTCTCTGTATTTCTTCTTATTCCTCATTTTCCTTATTCTTTGGAACAATGTTGAAGACTTAGAGGGTGATCATTCAGCAAGAGGTAAGAATAATTTAGGAGTGTAATGAACTAACAGTAACTCCTATGCTGATTGAATGCTTACTATATGTCTTGTAGTTTACATGGATTAAAAAAAAACTTTATTAAAAATAATGTGAAGGACTGGGGGAAAGAAGTCGCATCTGAGCAAAGATCTACAGAATGAATAGGAGTTAGGGCAGCTGAGCAGAGAGAAGAGGGAACAGGGAACAATTCTAGAGAATTGTGCACATATCACATATAGGTTGAAGAATGTTCAGAAACAGTATATCCATGTCACCAGCATCCAGGTAAGAGACATGACCACCATGCCAGAAGCTTCCCTATGGCCCCATCCAGTCACTACCGCCTCCCCAAGGGTAACCACTGCTCTGACCTCTAACAGCATAGATTAGTTTCGCATGGGTCATTTTTCTCATACTTGAGATCACTGCTACTATCATCCCTTTTAGAGATAAAAAGCAAGGAGGTAGAGAGAGGTTTAATAACTTCCCCCAAGGTCACATAGCTGGTAAGTGAAGAGCCTGAATTTGAACACAGATTATCTAACTCCAGAGTTGGGGACAAGGGTTTGTGTCTGGGTGAGTAGTCGGGGGTGGGTAATTATCATATACCTATTTTGT